ACACACACACACACACACACACACACACACACACACACACACACACAGAGAGAAAGAGAGGCGACATCCATCACTGTTTAAGCGCACACTCACAGAGACAGCCATTTATTTATGCTAAGCTGCTGCTAAACTAGCTTCACACAAAGGCCTGACGCCACCAATCAGCATTTAGTGGCGCGTGGGCGGCTCATGCCTCAGCCAATCGAACTGCAAGCAGAAGAAGAATCAGCATTACAGACCAAACTGTTATTAATTCAATGATCGGGAATCTAAATAAACTCTGTGTGTCTATAGCAGCTGCTCCTGTGCTGGTAGTCTTTGTGCTAAACGCTGCGACAAACATCCAGAGACGGATCTCAAGCTTCTTATCGGACTCTTGGTAAGAACAAGTGATCAGTATTTGTTTTTCCAAGATGAGTTTATCACAACTTTACCAGTAATATGGATATTGTCCTTGCCAAAATAATTGCTGAGATTTAGAATCATTGAAACATTGCAAAATAATAAATTAGACAAGTTAAGACACACATCGGCCACATCTACCTTTTCTGAAGGTTTTGAGTTATTATTCGTTGTATTAACTTCCCCAAAGGATACAAAGAAAATCACAAACTTGTCGTTTTAATTCCCTCTCCGCGTCTCTCAAAACATAAATAAATAAACAAGATGTACAGAAAACTTTACTATTTACTGTTTCTCTCCACTGTAGTGGAGTAAACAGTAGAATATTTACCTCTGAGAAGTAGAAGTACAAAGATGCATAAAATGGAAATACTCAAGTAAAATAACGCAAAATTGTACTCAAGTACAGTACTTTGAGTGTAAGTCACCAAAACTGTAGAAAGTGAGGGAACTCTCTCTAAACTACAATGAGGACGACAAAATCCTACGTTGTGTTTTCCAAATGATGTTTATTTTCTGCCACAGAGACAGATGCAGCAGAAGTAAGAGCGTCTTCTGCTGTCAGGGTGAATATTAACGGATCTGTAGTTCTGTTTCTCTTTCTGTACAGATGGAAAACCTCCTGCTGAGCTCCTAACTCATGAACACACACACACACACGAGAACAGAGGATGACACTGCAGTCGTCTCTAGCTGTTGCTCATTCAACATGACAGAGGACAGATGGCTGAGAGAGACACAGATACAGAAAGAGGAAAGAGAGACGAGGGTAGATTGAGTTATGGGGATGGTGTCGGAGTAGATTTTGGTTACAGTGCTCAAGAAGCTTGGGGCTGAAAACATGACGATGAGAAACGACACACTTCACTGACTCTCTCTCTGGCTGATCGCTCGTTCATCACAGAGCTTCCATCTGGCTCAGGTTGTTTTGAATTTATTCTCCTCGGTGGTCTACTCTGAATGCAGCAGCACGGATTGGTCATCTCACAGAGCCAGATGTGATCCATGCGCTCTGGGACGGCCTTGCTTAAGAGGGAAGTTCTGGTATCTGTCAACTTGTCAACCTATTTATCTTCGTGGCTCGCTTTCAATCGAGGGTGTGTTCGTGCTTGAGAAGTGCAGGGCTGGAGGAAAGAATGCAACTACATGATTTGTGTCTTTAATAAAATGACGAGCACACTTAACCCTTTGTGACCAAATATCTCCAGGAACTACAGAACCAGGAGTCAGAAACTAAACTAGGAACTAAATGTTCATCTTTACGACTCGTGTATTGCCTCACTGACAAAATCTGTAAGAACTTTTAGGATTAGGCAAATGAGACGGATGACGGATTAGACGACAATGCTGTTTGAAGTTCACTTCTCATGACTTTCTTTGTATTTACTGTTGCATAACTCTGATGCTTGACTGGATGAGATGAGAGCATGAAAACTCTAGTAGACGATCTGCTGGGCTTTTGAGGATTATTTATTTCTGCTTCAGAATGTGACGGTCACAATACAATCTGTGAATAAAGTTTAATTTCCATACTTCACTCGCTCCATACTCACGCTCTGAGTACGCTCTGCTATTTTGCTTGTTTGTTAAACTAGTTGGAAAGCTGACAACATGACTTTTTAACATCAATAAACATCTCTCCCCGTCATCCTATGATTATTACACCCAGTGCTTCCTTATGTCCTGAATGAAGCAGCACACAAGTTGTACTTTATCAGCCCTACAAACTCGTTGCTAGTTCCTCCCTTTGAAACCCAGTGAAAGCTTAGAAGTCCTAAAAAGATTGTTGGTCCTGGAAATACTGGAGGAAGGTTCCAGGGAAACAGCCCATCGGTGTAGTTTCTCATCAGCCTTCACTCAACAATAAAAAAGACTTTCAATCAAACTAAAAGAAACAAGCATTTGCTTGAGTTTGTATTTTCCAATTCTATACTCTGACGATGGTGAATAAATAAATAGTCATAATGAACAAAATGATGAGAATAACAAATACCTTGGCCGTGGCAGCACTGGCTGATTTGCTGAACATGCACATCTATTAATTGGAAGAAAAAAGGTGAAACTCCGCGTTGAAAGACTTCAGGAAAACCTTCTGCTGCTGGGCAACAGTGTTAATCCTTGAGCCACGGAGCTGCACTTATCTGCTGGCTGTGGATGGTGGAGGGATCTCCCGCTGGCACAGCTCCGTCTCATCGCTATTGTGTGTGAATGTTAATGTGTACAACAACGCAAAGGTCTTAGCTGAAGTCACATACAGGGTATAAACCTCTGTATTCAGAGCTGACTCTGTCATATCAGCACCTCCTCTATTCTGTTGGCGGAACAGATGATGACAAGTCTCAAATATATCTGTCCATTCGAAACACTGAGCCCATCAAAGCAGACATATCTGAGGGAGGCAGACACATCAGCAGCCCCATTCAACAGAGAGACGCTGCTTATTGCGAGGCAATTACAAGCAAAGAGAAACGGAGAGAAACAATGGATCAGCCTGGCTGCACTCTCCCTCTGTGTGTCCAGATATCTTACGGGTTGAGTGACAGATGAGCCTCTCAGAAAGAAGACGAGAAACAAATCATTTGTACACCACTTTCTTCTGTTCCCCTGTGAGTCAGCCTTTGAAGAGGGGATTGTAAACCAGACTGAAACTATACATTTGTTTTCTTGCTCGAAAGATGACTGACCTGGCCAGGTTGAAGGCATCGTCGATAAGTCCGGCTCTGTTTCCAACGGAGATGATCTGAGAAAGAGTGAGACGGACAGAGAGGGAAGAAGAGAGCCGAGATTTAATCAGACAATAAGATTGCCATTAGAGAGAGACAGAAAGTCAGAAAGACAGACACATACTTGAGGGTTGTTGTGGAGCTGTTGAATCAGCAGTTTCCAGTTCTGGAGGTCATAGTTCACGCGGAAGTATCCCGTTTGGTTGATGTTGCCCAACAACCAGGTGGTGTCGTCCATCCGTCCAATCCTGTGGGTTTCTGAGAGGAAATAGAAACATGAGTCAATCAGTTAATCAACAACTTTCTCCCTCAAACAAGCAGCACTGGTTCAACCCAGAAGCCAGGATGTTAGTCGCAGGTCATGCTATATGCTGACGACACCACGCTGTTGGGTTCCTTGCAGCGTTTTAAAAGGTTGCAGGAAATTGTGTCATTACTTTCTTCATGTGATGTATATTCTGATGAACCTGGAAGTTCAGGTTGAAAAGACAAACATTGAGGGATCAGTGTAAACCAACGGGCTATCACCTTCTGTGTGTGGAGAAAGACAATTTGATTGGATTGTTCTGAATTTGTGATGACTTAATCGGTTATACTTGCAAGTAGGTGAAGTTGTGCCAGAACCCACACTGTGTCAACAGCTGTTATTCCTCAGAAACAGAACCAGCTTTATTCCTCAGAACCAGAACTAGAACCAGCTTTATTCTTCAGAAACGGAACCAGAACCAGTTTTGTTCTCCAAAAACTACAGCAGAACCAGTTTTATTTCACAAGAACAGAGGGAGAAGAACTATCTTTGTTCTTCAAAATCTGAAGCAGAACAAGTTTTATTTTCCAAATACAGAACCGTAGAGACTTAACCCTCCAAAGACTGAAGCAGAACCCTCTTTATCTCAACAGAAAGAAGCTGAATAAATTTTAATCACAATATAAAGAACCAGAACTGATCCAGAGAGACTTTTCTTCTCCAAAACAGAAGCAGAGCAAGTTGCATTCCTCAAAAAGCTTGTTTGTTCCTCCAAAGAATCGATCCAGAGAGTTTATAAAATGAGCAGAATCATCTTTATTCTCTGAAAACAAAGCAGAACTAGCTTTGTTTGTTTTCAAATACAAACATGGAATTTAAAGTATAATGAAATATTCTGCCTCCAAAAACACAACTTTCATCTATTAGTATAAAATCTTTATTCTCAATAAACCAAACCATAATGATCATCGTTTAGTCATTAACTACAAATGAGCGATCTGGGAACAATGATATAATTAATGTGTGATCATGTGTTTGCTCTGTTAGAATAACAAATGAGTCTGAAGATAACAGCTCGTTGTCTCGAGGTAACAAGATAATTGAGTCATGATGGTGAAATGAACTTTCACGGAGATATCAGACATCAGAGCAGTTACACTGCAGTGTTCTCTGGTTCGTACCTGTCTTGTTGTTGATCCAGATGAGGCTCTCTGCACAAACACTGGATGCATTCCCCACAGCCACCGTCAGAGGAATCTGCCACTGTAAACTACAGAGAGGGAGAGTGATGTCAGTAATGGTTGCTGGAATTGGATTTGGTTTTATTGCCTCAGTTATCAGAGAGAGAGACATTAGAGAGAGAGTGAGTGAGCGTCGGTGGTGATAACTCAACATCAGTCAGCTGGAAATGGGGCGAGCGACACCGACTGTGTTACAGAGAGACGAGAGAGAGAGAGGGGAATTGAAAGTGTAATAGCTGCAGCAGTCGGCGAGCATCAGTCAGGTGTTAGCAGCTGCAGGTTATTGTCTTCTTCAGAGAGCGAGAGGTTAAATGTGCTGTCCAGAGAAACCCGCCGGTCACTCTGCTGATCTCCACGTCTTCAGATCACAACGATACATAAATTGCTCCTTTACTGCGTGAGTGAATTCCCCCATTAGACTCATGAACCCTTTTAAAAACCAATCGAGCATCACGGAATCGCATCACGGCCGAGTTTAAACAAGGCTGCTTCTCTTTGTTCCCGAGACGCTGACATTAGGAGATAAGTGGTTGTTGAGTTGTGGCGCGATAGACAGGACGACGTGGGAGTAATCGCTTAAGTAAGAAGTATGTTCTGGTGTCGTCGTCTCGGATCTTATTTAGTCCAAATGTTGAATGTTTTGAGAACCAGAGGAGCCGCAGAATCATGTGATCATTTCATTTTGAGGCGTAAATAAGTAAAAAGGCTTTTCTTTCAGTCTTCATGTTGAGTTTGAATCTGCATAAATACAGAGTTTTTATAAACTCACTCCATGTGAAAATACATCACTGACGTATAAGATATAATGCGTTATTATAGATGTAACATTAAAATGCTGGTTACACATAATGCAGCATTCATATTAGTCAAATAATATATTAACAATTGAACTGTGAGGGATGACAGTGTTGCCTGCGTACTTGTTTTTTATTTACCTTTAGCCAAGGAGGTTTTGTTTTCGGTTGGGTATTGATGAGTACGGAGCATGGGCCAAGAGAGAACCCGTAGAACGTTGGAGAGGATCCGGATCACGGGGCGGATACATAAACTGTTTATCAGATTTTTTCCACCACAATTGGTGCGTATATGGAGGTTTTTTTAAACGTGTGAAAACACAGTAAAGATGAACTCCTTTCACATTGCCAGAAGATGACGAAGCCTTTCCGATTTATTTTTCGTTGAATACTTCCGTTACTTCTTCCGTCTCCCTTCAAACTTGGTGCCAACTAATTTGGAGCTGCTCGGATGAAAACGTGGTTGAGATGAACAAGAGAGCGCGTGTGTGTGTGTGTGTGCGTGTGTGTGGTATAGTCTGGGTCGGAGAAAGTCTCATTCACCAATCTCATAACAGCCAGGTGTTGCCGCAGGCAATAGTGGATCAATACTGCTGCCTAGCAACTAGATATTTATCTGATATTTATATCAACATGTTGGACAGGAGTGGAAGCCAATCCCACACACACAGACACACAGACACACGCGCACACACACACGCACACACACACATGCACACACAATGTGTGTATCAATATTTGATCGACGTGAACGCTGTTTATTTTTCTAACAGTGTGAGTGTGTCAATGGTTTATTCATCACAGGCAGAAACCAGCTGAAAACACACACACACACACACACACACACACACACACACACACACACAGGAGGTTGAACAGGTAAAAAGCAATACAGTAATGCAATTGAGGTATTATCATTATTTATATAATTATTATCTAATTATTTTATGGTCAGGTTTTCCAGAAGAGAAATCTGAATAGTTGAATGAAACCAGGTTCATCATGTCGTTGACATGTTTTTAGTGGTATCTCTTTTTCTTTCTCCATAAAATAAGAAAATATTGTCAACATCCATAAAAAATCCATTTGACCATATTTACAGTAGTAAAATGTATAAATCAGAGTTTGAATGATATATGAACAGTAGTGGAGTGAATGTACTAAGTTACCTTTGTCCCCAGAGGACATATGAGAGGGACAATTAAAAATGAAGTCTCCACCGTCTGTGTCCCCAGAGGACAGCCGGCCTCGTGTCTGTGCAGACATGGAAAGTAATATTTGTACTTCAGACGGCCAACAAGAGAAAATGGAAAGTTTTTCCATTTCTTAAGAAATTAAAGTCACATTTGTCTTATCATTTTATCTAGTTGTATTTGTTCCGTTGTGTTAACGTCACACTGCTTTTTCCTTCTTATTCTGCATTTGATTCTTTCCGTCCATCACTTTGTGTCTGCTTTAAAGAGCTACAGCAGGATATAAATACACGTACACCTGCGTTTCTGCAGACTCATGAATAATGTATGTACGTCTGTCTCTTTTTAAAGCTCATTAAATCAAACACAAAGCCGCTCCTCATCCTCCAATCACGTCTCTGTCTACCTGTCTGGTGACAAGGCTTGTTTTCTCTTTAGCCACAATCCCAGAGACGAGTCGTGACGTGTTTACATCCTGCTCGACACACTTTCAGTATCATTAGCTCGACCTTATCGTTAGCTGTCCTCTGCTTTCTCCTTGTCACTGTTCTTTTTTTCTGTCAGCTCACTTCTTTTAAAAGCATTTATTTGCCTCGCTGCGTCGCTTTCTTTGATGCTGAGAAAATAAAAAAGACGCAGATTTGAGACGGCTCCCTTAACCCGCCGGGGAACTGGAAGAAGAGAAGAATGTTAAATGGTTGACATAAGATAAACTAAATGTCACCTCAACACTTTAAGTAACAAATCAAAGTGAGAGAAAGTTGGAAAACTACATTTTCTTTAAGGGACAGATGGTCAGTTGTCTGGCAATTAGTGAGGTGATCAACTGTCAGTTATTAGTTTGTTAAGCTTCATGTATTCAGGAAGTGAACAAGACTTGGATGTTAGAGAATAATACACGAGTCAAACAAACAGGACTTTCATCAAGGAGACACCTGTTCAGGTCCCCTGTGAAACAAAGTCAACCTGAAGTACACGTGTTGA